TATACTGATCATCTTTGAATAGGTAACAATGCTTTCTATTGTTTTGTTTGTTTTTTTCTGAAAAATTGCATCACTCATTTAATATAGTAGATATTAAATTGTGTTTTATAAAATGTCATCTCATCACTGCAGGATTAGCATTACCAGTTACAAGTATGTTGTATAACATTTGTTCATATTTTCTGAGTGTATATTAGGCAGTTCACTGTGAAAACCGAAAGTAATGTTTATCATACTATTTCATCATGGAATCCTTATTTTGTGGTTCTAGTTTTCAAGACATGAGCTGGTTGACACTCGAGTATAGAAACATAACTTTGCTATATTTTATGTGAAACTGAATGCATATATGTCCTTGATGGTGGTATGCATAGTATTTCTTTTATCCTCCACAAAGAGCTCCTACCGTGTTTTAGTGTCGAAATGTCATATTTTTCCAGGCTTGAGTTTCCAATGTTGTCATTTTTCTCCCACTTTTTAAGCTATAAATATCACTTTTACAGCAAACATCTCTATAATGGTCTTTAAATATGGAACATGGAGACAGCTATGGATGGATGGATGGATGGATGGATGGATGGATGGATGGATGGATGGATGGATGGATGGATGGATGGATGGATGGACTGACAGATGAATGACATCCTTGCATGGATTTCCTAGTCTAAATAGGAACCCTGTGACGATCACACATTATGTTGTTCTGGGCTGGAATGTTTATTAGCTTTTTCATACCTGGTTATTTTTCCCCTTCCTGACTAAGAAATAAAAATATGGAGTATTTGTACTAGAAAGAGAGACTTGTGAGGATTGAAACTTTGCTTGTACATTCAAAAGCTCTTTTTATGTATTATAAGGAATTGTTGTGCGTTTTTATATGTGTGGTAAAATTAGGATTTGGATCTATAATCTTAATAGCTTTGGTGTAGGAATATAGAAATATGCTACAACAGGTCTAAAACATGAATAGTTATAGAAAGAGTTTACTGATATTTTTCCAGTTCCAAATATTTCAGGAAAAAAAAAACACTCTGCAACCTCACCCTATTCAGCACATTTGGTTTAAACAAGCCAAATGTGCAATTTTCAAGCATATTTGATAAATTTGAGAATATACCACATATAATTTAAAAAGCATTGCACACTTTTATTCAGTATCTAGGTAATCTATCCTATTTTTGAATTGTGCCCTTTAAATGCAAAGCCAAAGAGCCAGCACGGAAATTCAGCTATTCTATCTTTGTACCAGAAAACATGTATTACTAATCATGTACGACTTCACAAATCTAGTAACAGATAAATGTTAAACTTCCAATCGTCAGACCAAGACAAAAATTGCTTAGCTTTTCCAGGAAGTAGAAATATATAAATTCGACATATAGACTCCTGTGAGTTGCTGTGTATAAATATAAATTTTAAACAAGTGCAATGCAATAAAATAATAACTTTAAACATTTTTTGTTTGCAAAAACGCAAGCCAGCTGCATCTTTCCCATCTGGTTTTTGTCTCATGGATAATGAGCCATATCTATGCCACTTTAAGGGATAGACCTTTGTATGTTTTTTAACTGATAAATTACAAATTAGAATTATCAACCACATGTGAGCAAATAGTTTCAGTCCAATTAAAAACAAAATGCCAGAAAATGTTACAAAGTGTATATCAGGAAAAAAAAGGATTTGGTTAGCTTTTTTTTTCTTTCTAAAAGATGTTAAAATAATCTAATTGCATCTGAATATGAATTGTTTTGTTTGTTAAATAAAGTCTGTAACACTGACCTTTCTGCTGTTTTTTCTCTTGACGTTAACACTCTTACATAAAAGAAGTACATAAGTTTATAGCTCTTGGAAGTGTGTAGGTAGGTCATTCTTTACTTAGGTCTAGCCATTTGCCTTAAATTGCTATGAAAGGGGAAACGTATGTTCAGCTCTTCTGCACAGCATTTGGCACGAATAGGGATTGGATAAATGTCACTGTGTTTTCTCTAAATGTGCATTACAAATATTTGATGGTAACACTTAGCAGAAATTTGAAGTTGGAAAGGAGATAGAAACCAAAAAGGTACTCTGTACTGTACAATCCTTCTAACAAGTGTACTTGACTAACATTGCACCATATACTATACAAATAACACAGGCAAGAGCTTTTAGTAAACGACCATAACTCATGAGGAAAGTGTTTACATTTGTGGTATGTAGACCTGGCCACAGCTAACATCATCTGTTATTTACAGGCCTGTCTGTGCGGTCCTGCTGCAGCACTGTCTAATGGCCCAATCCACAGCCTATGATGTCCAGACATGAAACAGGGCAGGGGTGGCTGCCACTCGTGTTTGAGTATTCTCAGAGGGAAACGTGCAGGTAGAGTCTGTGACTGTGAAAGTGACATGAATGCATCGTATTTCGCCAGTGTCTGTGTACACATAGAATTTCCACTAAGACCTCTCAGTGAACCTGGCCGCCAGCCTTCTAAAGGCTCAAAGGGTTTGCCAGACATGCTCAAGCTGAGTTGTACTATCTCTGCCAGACAGCTGCTTGGCCAAACACAAACACCATCTATTAAGGTATTAAGTTTGGATTTCAAAAGTAGCGGCAGGCAGTATTGATTCTGAATCTTAACCAGACATCAGAGAGCCTGAGTTTTTAGGTTGCTTCTCTTCTTGTTGCACCGGTCAGCTGGTGTTTGGTGTTCAGTTGGATGTGACATCTCTTCGTCTGTCCTATTTGTGTCTTGGACAAACTGTAAGATCAATCACAACTATGTTAGAAAGTGTCAACTGGTCATTGTCACTTCCACACTATTTAATTGTTCAGCTGATGAAGTCCCCAAGTAGGTTACTGTGATAGTGTTTAATCCCTACTAAGATATTGTGCAATGTTGCCCTCCAGTGGTTAATAGTATGTGCTGCATTATGTAATTCTACACACATAGTGCCCTGTTCAGTAATTTAGAAAGTTACTGAAAAGTTGATATATTTGGGCAACTCCATTCACACAGGTAAAAACATGATGCTCTTACACACAGACTGATGTTTTCAGGCTTTCATTTCTGTTAATTATTATTATTTTCAACTTACAGCTGATGAAAACATTGTATTTCTTAGATGAAAAAAAATCTGGTTTGATTTACATTATTTTATTAGCATTGCTATACTCAAACTGAGCTTATGATTATTTCTCAGCATGTGTCCACTGATATGTAATAAAAAGGCACCCTTTGCTTGGAGAAATACATAATATCACCCCTTTAACAATTACCAAGCGGCAACACCATGGAAGTGTGAGTTTCCAGGGCATTCTGTGTTCCTCAGACCCCAGGAGAAGGGCACAACACCACCTTGTCCTATAATTCTCAGAAGCTAGTAAGCTAGTAATTCAGAGTGAAAGGAGCCATGAAAGCCCATTCTGCAAGGAAGAAGCCAGTCGTCCGAAAGCAACAAAAAAAGAAAAATGTTGATTGTGCACTCAGGTAAAAATACTTTGATTTTTGGAGACTTGTTCTGTGGTCTGCTGAAATAAAAATTAAAATGTTTGACCATAATGACCATTGTCAGATTCAGAGGAACAAGGAGGAAGGAAGGAGAAATGCCACAAATGGGTCTTCCAAATTGGACAAAGATTCTAAACATGCCACTAAATTACACAGGTTGCCACAGAGACATACAACCATTCATGAATTTCTGAGTAGGAATAGTTTAAACCAGGTCCATACCATTAGCCCACTTACTTAAAAAGAAAAACCCAACATTTCTGATAAAAGTAATGATTTTCAGCTGGAATTAAGCCAGGACATTGTTGATGCCTCCAAAAAGCCATTCATGTATAACATCAAGTTGTGCACATACTGTATATACTGTATTTATTTACATATATATTTAAAGAAGTCTAAGTCTCAAAGTCTAAAAATGTTTAATCTTGCATGTAGAAATCTGACAATGTATAAATGGCAATAAATTAAGATATGTGAACTCATGTCTGACTTTAAAATACATTGGTTTTGTTCATTTCAGTGTGTGACAATGTGCCATGAAGGGCCCATATTAATTTGACACTAAATAAATCACGTGCAAATTATGAGTGGATATAACATTTTCTGCAGCACTGCATTTATGTCATTTCTGCTGTTTCTTACCTTGAGAATGATCAAATTTATGTAGATACGATCAAGATTAGCAAGACACAAATAATCTAATATACTGATTCACGTATCTTATATTGCAAGTTAATCTGATTATGTTGGAGGGACTTCATTTAATAGTTAACGTGTGGCACCTGTCTCTGTAAAACTAAGTGTTTCAGTTTCCCATTAACCTGTTTACAGCTGACGGTTGCAGAATAATGGTGTGCAAAATTGAAAATGCAACTCTGGTAACTTAAACCATTTGATTTCCCATCTGTAGATGAATTTTGAAAGCTTGGTGAGCCAAACATGCTGCTTTTCCAAAATCTAAAACTAACTAATGGCTATGGTTTAGGATTAAGGATATTAATGCAAAGTAATCAAACATGATCTATTTTAATAACACTACCAATCAAACTACTGTTGGTTTTGTTTGTAGTTTGTTTGTTTGTTTGTTTGAACAGTAATCACATTTTGACAAGATGCATTAAACAACATTTTCCCTTTTTCATGGTTGGAAACAACTCTGTTGTTTGATCCTAAGTGATTATGTCTTGTAATAACTTATCATTATATTGCTCATTATTCAAGAGATTAATTGGTAATTATTCTAGATAATTACTTCTTTTAATCACTATTTTAATGCTAATTAAGGTGACTGCCTTTGATTACAATTTGGCAGATGCAGGTTTTTGCATTTTGTATTTAAAGAAAGACTAATAATTTTGCATATTCAAATGTATTATTATTTTTATTTATTTATTTATTTATTTTTATTTTATTTTATTTTTTTATTCACCCCTCGTAATTCAAAGAAGTGTCCCTAATTTGTGGAATTAGGAAAATGTATTAAACTTTGTGCAACAAAAAATACACATAATGTCAAAAAGTGCATTTATTAGAGTCATTTTTTGGCACTTCAGTTATTGTAACTGGTCACACATTTGGCATAAAACACAAAGGAGCATCCCAAACAAAAAAAGAGTTGTGTCAAATTTACTGCCCAGCAGAAATTCAAATGTTACTGTCTGATTAAAGCTGTGATCTTTTTTAATACAAGTGTAAGGAATGAATAAATTATTTTTTTAACTGATGCAAGATTTAATTTTTGCAGAAAAAAGGATAGATAAAAAAAAAAGATATTGCAAGTTCATTCAGAAATGACTAACAAAATCAAAATACTGAAAATCTGAGATGCTCACAATTTGTTTCTTTGGAACAATACTACAAAAAATGGATAAAATGCTTTACATAAAGGAGACGTACAGTATATAACATGCAGCACCATGATGTGACTAACACAAAGCAGCTTAGACAACAAAGCTTTTCTTTAGCAAAGAAAATGAGTGAAAGGTGTTGTTGATATAATGAATCATTTTAAACATGCAGTAAGCTTTAATTCCTTAAAATGTGATAAGTTATGCATTTAAAAGTTACAGAAAATGGTTCAAGAATTAGAAAACTGAAGATAGTCTTCAAGTTAAATGCACAGCACCATGCAAAAGTATTCATAACACTCAAACGTTTTCACAGTTTGTCTTATTACAATCACAAACTTCACTGTATCTTATTAAGATTTTATGTACAACTTACTACTAGCACTTACATTTATTTAGGGATATTAAAGTTAAGGGGACTGAGTTAAAAAAAATCTGAAAATTGAATCACTTTCTTTAAACCTATACCTTTGTGTATATACCTTTGTGTTGGTCTATGACATAAACTAATAAGAAAACACAGATACGTTTGTGATCGTAAAATTACGTAGCGTGAAGTCGTTAAGGGTTGTGAATATTTTTGTAACGTGCTTAAACTTCTGGCAAACATTCAGTAATTCTTGCTGCTATTTGGTTTCGTCACTAAATCCCAAGCTTTTAGTGCAAGGTCTTAGGTACTTTAACATGTAGACTCATTTCACCAGTTGTAATCTGTCTTGGCTTGGTTACTATTTCACTTTGCTGCTTGTATTAATGCAGGTACCGGATTAGCCTTTTAGAGTAAACCAATGCATTTATAAGACTGGATACGTATGTCTATGGCACTGTCAGCTCAAGAGAGAGATCTAGTGCTTCTTCTCAAGGTAATTAGAGGGAACCCATCCTTTCCTTGGCCTGCCATTGTCCAGAATCTTGCAGTACCACCAGCCATTAGGGTTTCTTTCAAGAACCTCCAGACTTGTCCCCTCAGGAAATCCCATAGTCTCCTCGTCGCCATGGTAATCTGCAATGGAGACATATACCTCCCTGAGGTTATTGTGGATGATGTGGGGCTTAGGTTTCACTGGGGACACTGGAAGGGCATTCTTCGGAGAGCTCAGGCCCAAAGACTCCGAGCTGCCGGTACCAGATCTGTTCCTGTTGTTTGATGGCAGACTGCGAGGCACAGCACCAAAAGAAGCATTGCGTCGCACTGTGGGGCTGACACGTGGGTTGTCTGTTGAGTTGAGGGACTCATTTCTTCTGAGGGACACAGCAGGACTGGCACCGTCTCGGATCGGAGCTGAGATGAAGACCGACTGAGGTCTGACAACCTGCTGTTGTTTGGTGCTGTTTTGCTTAAGTGAGCTGAACAAGCTTGCAGGTTTGGAGAGACCACCTGGAGGTTTGGAAGGAATGGGCGGCATGACCTTCTTTAAATTCAGGTTGATGTTGTTCAACACTCGCACCCTTTGTTCGTTCTTTTCGAGACTGTTGGACTTGCTGAGGCATCCAGGTTTGGTTGGTGTACCATAGGATTCATACTCTCCCATGTCATCTTGTTGTCTGGCAGGCTCCAAAAAGTATGTAGGAGCCCAACCTTCTGCATCTCCCCAGCGGATATACCACCAGCCACTTTCCTGCTTCTCAAGGACCTCCACTACCACCCCAGCAGGGAAGCTGAGCTCAGAGTCTTGAACTTTCTCATAGGGATCAGTTGTGCGATACAGGTTGAAACCGTCCATGTCAGACTCACCTCGGCTTCCTTTGGAGTAGATGGATGAGAGATCAGACGTACTCTGAGATGAAAAGGAATCTTCTGAGGAAATGACTGAAGCTGTCTCAGAATCTTCACCTTTACTTTTGGTGCCATTCTTCAGCTGACCTGTTGGCCGCAGCTGTCTTCTTAAGGTGCTGATGTCCATCTTCTCTGCGCTAGATGCTTTGGCTAGCTGTGGCTTAGGTCTCACCACAGGTCTCAATTTAGAGGAAGACTTGGTGAAGGAGGTCATCTTGCTTTCTTCATTGTCTTTCTTTGGTCTGGAGAGATCTGGGGTTGACTCAGACGAAGCAGATTTGGGACTGGATGCTTCCTCAGATCTGGCTGAAGGTGGAGTCCCATTCAAGTCAATCTTGAGCCTGTTACCAGCAGGTCTCCATCCACCTGATGCCTGGTTTGCAGTCTTGCCATTATCTGACAAAACGCTTGTCTTGGATAAGTTTGAGTCTCTGCTGCCCTGTCTCTCTGGGGTCTCCCTGAAGGGCAGGAAGCCATCATTCTCATAGATACATTCTTCCTCTCCCCCAGCTTCTCCTTCTGCTTCTTGGCCATCCTCAAATGACTCACCCAATTTAAAGGAGGCACTGTGGAGTGATGAAGCAGGAGATGGCTTGGAAGACAAATGAGACCCCTTTTCAGAGGACGTTTCTTCATTCTTAAAGTCCACCAGAGAACTTTCCCCTCTCAGAAACTCAAACTCAGATTCCAGGTCCAGATCTCCAATGGCAGGCACATCATATTCTGGCTCTTCATAAACTGGCCCACTAGGAGATACAGGAGACTCCGGGGCATCTGATCCCGGACTGCTCGGAGGTGCTGTCTCCACTGAATCCTGTTTTTTGACAGGCGGGGCAGGAGGTGGCACCTTCGGGCGGCACAGAGTGCTTGTTCTCCGATTCAAGTTGGGCTTTTTACGTTTGTCAATGTAGGAACATGGAGCCCAGCCCTCCTTCTCACCAATTTGGACATACCACCATCCACCAGAATTCTTTTCAATCACCTAAAGTACACAAATAAAATAGTTTACGTTTTTAATAGCATGATTCTGAATGAGAAGAAATGCTAAACTGATGAAGCACAGGATTGTGTGCATTTACTGTATTTAAATTTATTATTATATTGTTTCATTGTTTTAACTTGAAAGGGTGTTTACCTCGGCTTTCTGACCTCCATTAAAACTGATGCCATCGGATATGCAAGACTGGAAATCGGCAATGGTGTAATACTCAGCTTCAACTGCAGGGGGCTCTGGAGGGGAGGGCAGCTGAAAACCCTAAATGATAAAAAGAGCCTTTTAAACCTATTGAAAATGAGTGAAGAAGCATACTACATGCACACTATTTCATCTCACTCCATTTAAAGAGTAATTTTACTTAAAACTAAAAAACTTGAAACAGCAGATTTGCATTTTATTCATTCTGTTGTTATTTTAAAATTATTCTACCATTTTAGGGTTAATTACTACAACTACTTTATTGGAGGACTGTTAACCTAAAATTTAAATGGTATTTTCTACATTCCTAGGTGTATATAGTGCTATGTAAAAGTATTTGATCCATTATATATATAT